CTGCTCTCGTTGTAGCACCAGGAGGCAGTTTGGCACCACCTCCCTTCGTGTGAGCATGAATGTGCTCCTTTGTTTCCAAGGTGTGCGCCTTCCTCAGCACATCTGTTTGGGAACACTTGACAGGAAGTTGCCTGCTTTCGTCAATCCACGCCAATCCCCGCAATGACCCTCCTCAATCTCCTCCAGGTTGCATTCTTCACGGCAGGGAACACCAACTTCATCCCTATCTTCATCACGCCCACCATCAGCAGCAGGTGGAACAACATCGTCACCAGCTGAGGTAAGGCTCCTCAATCGGTGCTAAGGCACCTTCACTCTGTCTTTGGCCTCCTTTTGCTCCTTCTCTGCCGGTGGGTCATCCCATTCAATAAGGTTTTTTGCCCTCTCCGCCATCTGCTGCAGGATGTCAAGCGGACACATATTCCACCTGCTGTACACCAGTTTGTGCATTGTCTCTGAGGCCAAGCCATTGCCGCCTGCGAGCTGAACTTGCCAGTGTTCTGAACCCAATAATCGACTTCATGCTCCATCTTGTCGCACACCTCCTGTGACGACCCTTTCAGCCATGTGTACATCCAGGTGTAGAATCCATCTTGGATCTGTCAATCCTTGTGCGGCTCAGACGACCGGTGCTCTCGCTCACACAACAATGTTGTCCATGATCACTCCAACAACACTCATTCTCGCCAACTTCACAAATCGACTCAGATAAGATTTTGGAGTACACTGCTGCTCCCTTCTCCTTGCCTGCCATGCAATGCGACTTCCAAAAAAGCACACCGGTCGAAAAGGAGACCATGACATTCAAGTGAGGTCTGCCTCTTAGATCAGTCCAGCCATCAAGCTGGGATATATCCGGTTCGAGTCCAACTTCTCTGTTGCCGCAAAACCCCCCTCCTCGACCCGAGGCCGTGACATGTCCAACCTCGTCCTCCGCTGCACCTCATATTTTACATGGATGAAGGGCCGCTCTGCATCGCGAACCTTTTGTATCATGCACAAGAAGTACTTGTTGCGCACCATGTTGAAGGGGACCCCTTCATAAACCAACCAGTCGTCTACGAAGTGTTGTGCTTCCTTCTTCGAGATGATTGCCCCGCCCTCTTCCAGCGTGGTCTGCCGTACATTGGTTGTGCTGGAAATGCCTGTATTTGCTTTATTTTGAGCTGGTTGGGGGCTGCTGCACTCCTCCTCCGCGCCCATGTCTTCTATGCCCTCGACGTCTGAGGAGCACTCATGTGACTGCACCTTTGGCACAGCCTTTCCCAGCACCAGCGCAATCGTCTCCAGCCGGCCCAGCTCCCTCTTCTCTCTTTCCTCTGCTGACAGCCTACTGCCTTGCCTGTTCATGTCGCACCTGGGCCCTTTTGTCGTGGACATGAAGTGTTGTGCACAGCGCTTTGCACTCCCAGGGAACTCCAGCTCACGGTACAGGCATTTCCACTCGTGGTTCCCTTTCCCCACCTCCCCATGTAAGTCTCTCGAAATGGCGCTTGATCGCCTCTGCACCTGCTTTAGGCATCCTGAATGTGATGGCGACGTGTCGCCGACGACAATGCAGCAGAACAGCAAGGGTGGGTTGTCAGATCAATTGAAAAATAAGCTGCCCTCTCTCTCTCTCTCTCTCTCTCTCTCTCTCTCTCTCTCTCTCTCTCTNNTCTCTCTCTCTCTCTCTCTCTCTCTCTCTCTCTCTCTCTCTCTCTGGGTTGACAAATCTTTGCAGGAAAAATAAAATAAAGAAAATGACAGCATTTCCCCACCCCCTATGGGGTCGGAAATTTAGAACACGTTTGTATGGGGGGAGAGGGTCGATGAACCTTTGCAGAAAAAAAAAAAGAAAAACGAGTTTTTTTTTCTTTTTTGCCGAAATTTGGACCATTTCTCGATTTATGCGTGTCATCCTTGGGCAGGGGCCATGCTAATCTTCTCTGTATCGTGTACTTATAGGACCCTCCTCCTCCTCCTTCTCGTCGTCAAGTCCCCTTCCTCCTCCTCCTCCTACTCATCCTCGTCATCAACTACGCCGTCCTTTCTCATCCTCCTTGTTGTCGTCAACTCTTCCCTACTTTCAGCAGCGAATCTTTCGAGAAGTTCCAACTAAAAAAAAAATCAAAATCGATTTCAAGAAGACAATGGAGAAATAGACGACAGGAGAGAGAGAGAGGACAACGGGGAAACGGACTACAGCGCGGAAATGGACGATGTACAGATACTCAGATACGACGGAAAGGAGGAGGAGGAGAGGGAGAAAGAAAAGGAAAGGCGAAGATGGAGAACACGATGACGGGGTGCCACGTGGCACCCGCGCAAAGGCCATGCAAATCTTCTGTGTATCGTCCCAATGGATCCTCCTCCCCCTCCCCCTTCTTTTTTTTTTGTTTTTTTTTTGTTTTTTTTTTGTTTTCTTTTTTGGACCATTTCTCGATTTACGTGTCTTCCTTGTGCAGGGGCCAAGCTTATCTTCTCTGTATCATCCCAGCTCAACGGACCCTCCTCCTCCTCCTCCCCGTCATGTCCCCTTCCTCCTCCTCCTCGTCAACTCCACGCTACTTTCCTTTCCCCCTCTCCTCCTCCTCCTCTTTTTTTAAAGGGGCAACTCTGGCGCAGTCACGTTTTCAGTTCTGAATCCACTCCAGGCATCCCTCGAATACAGCACATCCCCAGCCAACCCTAAAGCTGGGTTGGATACATTCTCGATTTTCCTTGCTTTGGAGTAAAATTCGCGAAACCGTGACTGGAACGCATTTAAAACTGAAAACATTGACTGCACCATAGTTTTCCCTTTTTTTATTTGAACCATTTCTCGATTTATGTGTCTCATCCTTGCGCAGGGGCCATGCTAATCTTCTCTGTATCGTCCCAATTTTAAAGAACGTCCAAAGGACCCTCCTCCCCCTCCTCCTCGTCAAGTCCCCTTCCTCCTCCTCCTCCTACTACTCATCCTCGTCATCAACTCCGCCCTCCTTTCTGATCCTCCTCATCGTCGTCAACTCCACCCTCCTTGCAACAGTGCTTTCGAGAGGTCGAACGACAAAAGAAAAAAAAAATCGGTATCAAGAAGACGTGGGAGAAATGGGCGACAGAGGAGAGAGAGAGGACAGCGAGGAAACAGACGACACCGGAGAAATGGACGACGGACAGATACTCAGATACGGCGAAAAGGAGGAGGAGGAGGAGGAGAGCAAGAAAGGAAAGGAGGGCAGAGTTGACGACGAGGAGGAGGGCGACAACAAAGGAGGGCGAAGTTGATGATGAGGAGGAGGAGGAGAGGGAGAAAGAAAAGGAGGGCATAGTAGTAGTAGTAGTAGTAGTAGTAGTAGTAGGAGGAGGAGGAGGAGAGAGGGAAAGGAGGGTCGAGAGAGAGAGAGAGAGAGAGAGAGAGAGAGAGAGAGAGAGAGAGAGAGAGAGAGAGAGAGAGAGAGAGAGAGAGACCGACCTGCTTGACGTGCCTGCTGCCCTGTTCCACGCTCCGCTCCGCGTGCTAATCACCGCGCAGCTGCTCGCTCCCCTCAAGCTGGTCCACATGCTGCTTCACACGCTGCGCCATGCGTTTACCTTGCTGGCAACAGGCGATGGTGGAGCTCCAAGGCCGCTGAACTTCAGCTCAAGACGAAGGACCTACGACGCGGGTGGCAGCCCAGACCAAAGGCATTCGATTTCACGGATGCCTTTGGAAAATGGCGGCCGCAAACCCAACCCCCCAACTGCTCAAAAAAAAAAAGCAGAGAAACAAAACAAAAAACTCTAGTACCCTTACGGACCTTCCGGATCCCAGCATATGGCTGTAAAAATCAGGGCGCAATTTTCTTTGGCGGCCCAGGGCGTGAAAAAATGCCCTGGGCCGCCCAAAAGAAAATTGACCGTTGGGCAGGGGCCCTACCATCCGGAACGGGATCCGGACCCCGGACCACGGACAGTCGGGATCCCTGTCTGGTGGTCCGGATCATAGCCATGGTCTGTTTGCCAACTGTCATTTTTTTTTTTGGTTTGGGAAAATTGCATTTGTACCCCGGTTAATGTTGGGAATACCTGTTATACCCAGTCCCAGGGCCAACTTGCATCTATACCCAGAACCCGTTCAACTTTGCATAGTACCCAACTTTTCACCTTTGCGAAATTGTTGGCGTACCCAGTCTTCGCAGGGCCTCCAGTCCAGAGCACGAAATTGTGGTCATGCCCAGAACCGGGCTGGCAAAATTGTGGGTGTACGCACACCCAGTGGCGGGCCTTGGATGGTACACCACAAAATTATGCTCGTGCCCACCAAGAGGGCCGTTATGGTCCAACGGCGGTTGGGTATGAGTGTAATTTCAGCCTTATGGTAGTTGGGGATGTAAATAATTTGGCAGGTCCACCTCATTCCCAGGTATGCCCATAATTTTCCCTGTGTATGTCCATAATTTGTGCATTCCAGTAGTTGGTTATAAGCACAATTTTGTGGTATCAACCTGGTCAACGTCGGTCCTGGGCATGCAAATAATCTCCACCGGCTGTTTTCCGGGTATAGAATCGATAGATGCAAGTTGGCGCTGGGATTGGGTACAGCGGGTATTCCCACCTTTAAGTGGGGTACAGAATCTACAAATGCAATTCTGCCTTTTTTTTCCCTTTTTCTTTTTTGTTGGGACCATTCAATGGCCTTCGCTGAGTCGTGTGTGTCATCCTTGCAGAGGACCATGCTAGCCTTATTTATTACCAATTGTCTTACATTTAACTTGATTTAAGCCTCCTTTTTTTTTTTTTTTTTTTTTTTTTKTTAAACCAACCGTCGCACATCTGAAGTGTGGTCCATGTGTTGCCAGGTAGCTGACCATGAATAATGTTTGAATTGTTGAATTTGTTGCGCTTCAGTTACCCCCTATATCCTAACTTGACCCGCTGCCCCATCGTCCAATGAGCCAATTTTGAATTTTGCACTTCATGAACTTTGATGTTGGACTTTGTGCCTGAGAAAATGATACACACCGTCTTCGCCACTCTTTTCCAAACTTTTTATGCAGGTATTTGAGCGGCTAAATATGGGATCCACACAGGTGAGAATCTCTCTCTCTCCCACTGTGCGCTGTCACCTTGTCCTCCAAAATCATGGTGTGTTTTTCAGCTTTTCACTCTTTATATAAGTTTATAACCAATGTTTTCCATACACAAGGAATCAAATCATGTTAGGGGACACCTAAGTCATTGTTGTTCAATATTAATGGAGCATTTGCTCAACCAGTGAGAAGTCCCTCAACCTATACCACTCTCTTCCCCACAACCACCACCACTGGAAGGAAGGTCTCTTTTCTTTTCCTCCTTTGAATCCGGCCAGAAATTTGCCGGTCAAACTTGTCGGAAGTTCAATTTTATTGCAATCTAAGTAGCATGCAATTTTATTGCAATCTTAAGTAGCATGCAGTAGCTGAATCCCCCATTTCTGCCAGTTTCAGTAAATCCCACACAAGGTGTCGCTCTCCACTGTACTCCTTGTTCCACACTCTCCTTATTTAGCTCTCTTTATTCGATTCGCAACAGGGCCACCTTGTCAATGGCTTGCCTTCTCAATGGGTTGAGACATTTGATCATCCCATTCTCTGGGGCTGGTGCTGATCCCCAAAACTCACCTTATCCTGTGATTGTTCTATGTATCATTCTGTGATTGTTACAGCTGAATGAACAGGAGCTCCGGAACTGCATCTACCAGGGCAGGTGACCGCGCTCACTCTTGGAAAAGGAACTGTCGTAAGAGAATGCATATCCAGGCCAGCACATATATTTTCTAGGCATACATCCTTGGCCCTTCAACCTCTGTTAGTCATTTTGGCAGTGCTGTGCCTGACTGGAAGGCTTCCATTTGTTGCTTGATGGTTTGCATTCGCTCAGCCTTGGTGGTAAGTGTCCAGTGTTACCTGGTTAATACCAAACCATGCATGCAGTTGATATTTTCATCATTGGTATTGTCAGCATGATCGTTGTTGCCATTGTTGTCGTTGTCATGATCATCGTCATTGTTGTGTCGTTATCATCTCTGCTGCTGTTGTCATCATTGTCATCGTCGTTCTTGTTCTTGTTCTTGTTCTTTTTCTTGTTCTTGTTCTTGTTCTTGTTCTTGTTCTTGATGTTGATGTTGTAGTTATCCTTGTGATTATGATGCTCTTTTTGTTATTGACATTTTTGTCGCTGTTGTTTTTCGTGACATCTCTTCCGTGTGTTATGTTACTGTTGTCATCCTCATGGGTGTTATGTCATCATCGTTGTCGTCGGTTGCAGCAGCGCCATTGCAGTTGTCATTGGCGGTCGCAGCAGCATTGTTGTTGTCGTCATCGGCAAAGCCTCCGGTGTTGTGGTTGCGGAGATGGAGGTTGTGCTGACTGCGGTCGTTGTCATCTTCACTGTTATTGTCATGGCTGCCGTCATAATTATTGTTTTTGTCCTTGTCCTTGTTGTCATCGTTGTCATGGTTATCACTCTGTTGTTGCTTGGTTCATTGTGGAAGTGCTCATATGTGAGTCAACGCCATCTCTGCTGTGCTTTCGGAAACAGTTATAATGATCTCCTTGAGGAGTTGGCAAGGTTCAAGGACATGCTCAAGGTGATGAAAAGTGATGTTCCACATAAAAGGTACCCAATCCTACACAAGGAAAGTATCCTATGCAGCTATGTGCTTATCATTTTCCTCCTTCTCCGCCCGCCTGCCCCCTCCCCCTCTCCTACCTACCTACCTATCTACTACCCTCCCCTGCCTAGTCACTTTTTGTTTTCTTGGGATTTTACTCCCTGTCCTCTGGTGTTGGCAAATCAACCCCCCCCCCCCCCCCCCCCCCCCCCCCCCCCCCCCCCCCCCCCCCCCCCTCTACGCCAGTTTCGTTTATATTTGTGCAACCGGAGACCATTTGAAGTAATGTCGAGCTCCATCTCACCCTGTTAATGTAGGTAACCCCACACAAAGTGGCCGTTCCACCTGACTGCAGGCTCTGCTATAATACTCCCAAGAATTGAAAGTATGACCTGACATAATGTGACATTGTTCAAACATGCACCTTCTGTGTTGCTGTTGCGATTCTATCTTGACTTCTACGGTGATCTCTGCACTCAGTTCGCTCAAACATCTGGCTCAACCAAGAAGTGTCTCCACACAAAGCTGGGTGATGGCTGGATGGCACACATCAAGAACTGCTGATCAAGAGACTCAGAGTCAAAGTCATGTTTGGTTCCGTAATGTGAGGGGCTGACTCCCATTTTCCCTCAACAAACAGAAAAAAAAACTGAAAAAGTAAAGAGGGTTACCAACCGGAGCCTGCACTCGGGTGGCCATGGCCGCACCCCGACTGGTGCGAATGTCCCCAAAAAAAACTCCCGGGGCAGTTTCAAACATGCAGTCCCAGCTGGAGTTTGGCCAGGCGGTGCACTAACCCCGGTTAGGGGCCATAGCTGGGTGGAAAATTAATCGGGTCACCCAAAAAGGCCCCTTGCCAAAAAATATGCATTTATCATTAATGTGAATGTGTATGTATTAGTTTAGGAACTTTAGGTCTGTCTTACGTACGCATGTATACCCGATTTTGAATTTTCCCTCCCTGACATTGGCCCTGTGTTGCTGCCCTGCAGGGCTGCATGAGAGAAATACCCAAGCTACACTGCTTGCCCCAGTTACATGGCACCCTTAAACCACTAGTCCCTCCGCCAGTGTTGGGAAAATGGGGAAAACGGGCTGTTTTTCCCAATGTCCCGGAAGAGTTCGGAGGTACCGGAGGCTCGGGCAAGATGAATAAAGTTTAGTTTTATATTGCCCGCTCGTGAAAGAACAAAAAAAAGAAAAACGGAAGATACTTTCTCTACTGCAATGGTGTCGGGCAGGGTAGTCTAGGAGGCCGTGCTCGCAGTTTGTTTGTTTGTTTGTTTGTTTGTTTGTTTGTTTGTTTGTTTGTTTGTTTGTTTGTAGTCCTCCACAGAATGAAGCTTGCTGCAAAAACGGTCAGATTGTGGATATTGTTGCTTTCTTTTTTTTCCTTTCTTTTCTTACTCTTATGAGTCCCTTGCCAGCGAGGCAGGGCATTGTCCGTGATTTGCTCAAGCTGTGTTTCCTTAGAGGATTGCAACCGTGATAACACTGGCACTCAGAGCAATGTATCCAGCCAATATCACGGCCAGATCTGTGTTTCCTTTTTTTTTAACTTTCTTTCTTTCTGTCTTTGTATTTCTTGAATCTCACACTCTGGCCACAGGGCTGAGATGCCCTCACTGAGGGCACACTCACACTGCCACTTCCAAGAATGTCTACAACTGCATTTCACGGCCAAAGCTTTGTTTCTTTTTTTTCTTTTTTTTCTTTTTTTTCCCTTCTTTTGTGAGTTCACGGCCACGACTTTTCTTCTTCTTCTTCTTTTTTTTTTTTTTTGTTCTTTTCGTGAGACTATGGGAAAAGAAAATGGAGTGGGACCCAGCTCGGCAAAACTTGGAGCGCAGTGAAATTCAGGCTCGACAAAAACAGGCTCGCAGGTACTATACTACTAGTGGTTCAAGTGCTCTCCCCGTGCATGTTGCTTCACCCGATTGCAGATGCATGTACTGAACATGACAACGGGGGTTACATGACTTTTTTTTTTTTTTTTTTTAATAAAAGGGCAATGCTGATGTTTGAAAAAAAGGAAAAAAGGTTGGCCTATGGTGGAGCCAGGGCGGGTTCTGGTGGCCAGAGTGTCATTGATGTGGGTGCTGGCTGGTTCGGCCGGGTGCTGTTGCACATTTTTTCAGGTTCCCGACCAGGTGAGTTTGGTAGAGCTGGCCGGAATTCTCCTTTGCAGCTAGGGCTGGGTACAATTGTAGGTTTTTTAAACCTTTTTTGCAGACTAGATCTGGGTCGGATCCAGATCACAACATAGACAAGGATTGTGAGAGCTCTGTTGCCAACTTACAAAAGAATTCTGAATTAGCATTGGCTGTTGGTAGCAGCTATTTCCTTCTTTTACATTTTATCCATATGGAATGTGGGTTCTGACACCAAGTAATGTGCCGTGAGCACATGGTGGTGTTTCAGGGTAAATGTTCCATTTGAGTGAAATAAAGGTTATGCTATGAGGAAAAAAAAAAAAAAAGKGAAATAAGGGGCAACCATGAATGGTGATTTGGAGATCCTGAGCATCTTTCTGACCCTATTGCCCAAATAACTGATATCTTGGGCTTAGCCGCTTAGGATTGTTACAAGTCAACGGGCGTAATTATAGTCCTACGGATATTTGTGTGCTTAATCACCTGTGCAATTTGAATCACGTGCACAACGCCAGCTGGTGTTGTGCTCCTGTCATTAACTAGCGGGGTGTGTGTGTGTGTGTGTGTGTGTGTGTGTGTGTGTGTGTGTGGATGTGGGTGTGGGTGCATGTGGATGTGCTTTGGATCTTCTGTAACCAGGATGCGAGACCGGGAACTCATACTTCGGTTCTTTGCTCTCCAGAGGGGTGGTATCAATGGCTTTATCATGCCCGTGAAGAAATGGCTTAATGAGGAAATGCGCATGTAAGTTCTGATCTGGATGGGACGCTCTATGATTTACCCGCACCAGTTTCCAGAAACGAAGCTGCATGGCGAAAAATACTGACAGGGGGAATCTCAGAATCTGCAGTTTTCCATAGTACTATGATTGCTAGCTAGCTCTTGTCTGGCACCTGAGCGAAAGGCGGTGCTGTTGGAATATGATGTAAGAACTACTAAGAAGTATACCACCGAATGAACCAGATTTCAGCAACTGGGTGTATAACCATGCAAGGAAAAACAAAGTTGACCATGTTCTTTTGGGGGTAGTGAATCTACCGTCGTCGCCCGAATAGAACGCCCGCCGCCCGGTCATTATCAGTGCATCTGGACGTCAACTCGGGCCAAATGCAGCTATAATGATGGAGCGTTCTATTCGGGTGAAGACGGGAGTGATCCATGTGACAAGTCAAGCAGTAAGAACTCATGAAGGGTCATAGGGAAAACAGAACAGGAAAGGGAGTTCGAAAGCCGAATGAGAAACACAAAAGGTGAGAGGAGATGGAAAATGAGTGGAGGGACTGAACTACACAGCCACCAAGTACGGCAAGCAAAACGCACTAAAAATTTGAAACAAGTCAGCTTCATTTCTGGAAAGCTCACCGAGAAGGAAGGGTGTTTTTTTGCAGGGGCAGGACTGTGGTAAATTCTTTCTAGAAAGGGGAAGCAATCAATGGCGCTGTCTCCTTCAGCAATAATGGAAGGAAGCGTTGAGTGGATGATCAATGTAAGGGACACTGGACCCGTTTTCCAGCTTGTATGATGAAGTAAATTATTTATTGCCTATTAAGGCAAGCGGATGCCCATTGTCGCTGCGCCCGCGGCACAGCAATGCCCGCAGCCAAGTGCGCACGGATGGCAACACCACCTTCTCTTACACAGCTGCCATTTTCCCCTCACAGATGGCCACACCACCTCCTCCTACACAGGTACCATTTTCCCCTTAACACCAGGCATCATCATCATGAATGTATACAAGCTACATGTGTGGTCCGGTACAGGCATGTTGAACATGTGTTCTGTTCAGGTGAAGATGGTAGTCTTGGTTGCCCATGTGTTTTCCCCTTCCCTTTCCCCCTTTCCAGTTCTCTCTCTCTCCTGCCCCTCTCCCCTGCCCCTTTGTCCCTCTTCCCACTCCCCCCCCTGCTCTCTCTCCCCACCCATGCCTCCCCCTCTCCTGCTCTTCCCCTTGCTCCCCTCCCTCCCTCACCCTGTCCCTCTCTATCTCCTTCACCTCCCTTCCTTTGTGGATGTCTATATGGGTGCATCATGTCTCTCTTCTTGTCCCTCCATCCATCAATATTCCACCCTCCCCTCAGAAGTATGGGTTGTCACATTCTGAGCATTTTATGTAAGCAAACGCATGGAGTACATAAGGAAATGCATAATCCTTGCAGGATGTTACAGTCACGTAAATCTTAAATGTCACATTTGACAGGAGCACCAGTGCCACAAAGTAAATCTTAAGTGTCACATTTGACAGGAGCACCAATGGCACATTTTGAAAGGTTCCTTGTTTTTTTGTGTGCCCATGTGTCAGTGCCTCTGTGTTCTATGTCTCTGTTTTTCTTTCTGTATTTCTGGCTTTCTGTTTTTTTTTTCCTGTTTTCTTTATGTGTGTGTGTGTGTATCTGTGTGCATCTGTGTGTGTGTGTGTTTGTTCGTTTGTGTGTGTGTGTGTGTGTGTGTGTGTGTGTGTGTGTGTGTGTGTGTGTGTGTGTGTGTGGACATCCATGCTGTGTTTGCATGCCCCTGTATGACTGGGCATGCTGTAGGAACACGGGTGGTTGGCAGAAACTGTGCGGATTGGAGGTGGGGAGGGGAACGAGGTATCGGTGTATGCGTTGCTTGCTTGTTTGAGTTTGTGGACACAGTAATCAGGCACTAGACCCCTTTGAAAAGCAAGAAATGAAGATGGATTTTCAGCGTGCAATTTCTTTGGCAAATGGAGTCTTTGGCGATCAAGCATTTCGAATCCTCAGGTGAGCGTGTTTACCTTGCCGAATCAGGAAGGAAAAGGCTAGTTTTTCGAAGCAAAACTTGTAATGATATATTGTTTTAAATTGTTCTTTTCCTCAATCTTCTTATTGGAAATATCAGCCTTGGGCCCTGGGCCCTTTCAAAAAAAAAAAAAAAAAATCTTTCATGGTGGGAGCTGGATTCAGTAATTTCCTTTCATCTTTCATTCTGTTTTTCAGGTTGAATGTTCTCTGAACCTTCTCTCCAAGAATCATATTTTCTTTGGTGTGCCATATGCACGTTGGTGTCCTTGTGTAAGGCGGCATCTCCTCCTTTCACATTGTTTTCTGTTTGCACCGCGGCACCTCCCCTCTTCCCTCCCCCCTCCTCTCCTTCCTCAATGGCAGTTAGACTAGTAGGGTTGAGTTTTTTTGTTCTGTTTCTGATTTCCAGTGTTCGGATTCGAACTTGCCTGGTGTCAGATTGCGACCGCATGGGGCAGAAGCCAAATGGGAGGCAGATGTAAATGTTGCACTCTGGGATACAATCATGGTGAGAACACACTGGCATTGTTCTCTTTGGTTTATTTCTCCCATTCTTGTTTTTCTTCGCCCCCCGCTCCCTCCTCCCTCCTCCCCCCTTTTTCATTCTTTTCAGAAGCAAGGGTGGTGGCCCGTGACATTATGATGGAATCGACAGGGCTTGAGCTGTTTAACACCTGGATCGCTCAGCCGCCCGAGAAATAGCATACCATCGAGTTTTGGATTTTTATACCAGGGCCTTGACTGCGTATACTTTCGGGACAGTCAAAAAGTTTGAGTTCAACGAAAAATAATCGAAAATATATATGGGATGTCCTTCACTTTGTGTATTCGTAATGACTCTGTGAAGTATACACAGGATTGTCAGACACTTAGTATGCAGAGAACCCCTGTTCCTGAAGTGATGCGCATTGCGCAGTATGGTGCTGATTGGCAAATAAAATGATAATAGATCCTCTCGCGAAAGATGGGGTAAAAAAAAACGAAAACTGTGATTGGCATTCCTGCATTTGCTTTTATTGTTGCTTCCTTTCTGCTCCATCCTCTATCCCCGTCCGTCATCCTCTTCCTCCTCCTCCTCCTCCTGCTCCTCCTCTTCCCACCTCCTCCTCCTTCCTCCTGCTCCTCATCTTCTCCTTGACCTTTGATAATGTTTTTTTTTAAAATAAATTATTAAGTATATATAAGTTATAACCAGTCTACCTGTTAGGAGGGGTGATAATGGTGTGTTCTTTGTCATCTTCATCTATAGTGGAACGTGCTACTTGCACAAACTGCTGAGGGAGGTGAAACCTTTTTTTTTTTTTTTCTTGAAACTTGATTCGTTGAAATTTGAAAATGGATTTTACCGGTTGTGTGCAGTTTGGCTTCTCCCAGCTGAGCAGCATCGATGAGGATGTCATTTTGAAGAGAGCACCTTCTCTACGGACAGCACTTGAACATCTTATGACAAAGGTATGTAAAGTGGCAGACAAACACCAGTTCTTCTGATTTATGGTTGTAATTGAGCCCCTAATTGAAGACTTATTACTAGTTAGTACTAGTTAGTACTAGTTAATAGTGCAAAAGAAAGAAATCAATGGATGCTTCCACCGAGTGCAGAAAAGATCGACAAAGCTCCTGAAAAGATCGACAAAGCTCGTGGACTATGATCATATGTCTCAAGTTCCCATCAAACAGTACTGAAGAACCACAGTTTGCTTTGGTCTGTGTGAGTCTATAGTCAGCATCATTAAAGGTGCAACCCCCGCCTAGATACCTCTCTCTCCTTAAGCCTCTCCCATAACATGTCCCAGCTGCCAGTGTGGCTCACGTAGGACGAAGGAGGGAGGCACATAGGAGGAGTTGTGGGGGAGGAGGGAAGTTGTTCAGTGTGGTTGAAAGAGACAAAATGTTCGAGTTAAGACTTAAAAGTGAAGATTATCACAGCCTGGTTGCTCGGGCGTATGGTTCTGTCGATGACTTGGGCTGTTGCATGACAAGGTCTGGTTTTCCAAATGGTCCAGTTGAAGAAGAGAGGGGGGGGATGGGGCGAGGTGGGAAAGAGGGCGCGGTGTTCGAAGAAGGGAGGCGCATAGGAGGGGATTGTGGGGGAGGAGGGAAGTTATTGAATTGACTGACCGAAAGAGGATAATCGTTTGGAAAACCAGCCTGGTTGCTCAGTCGTACGGTTCTGTCGATGAGTTGCCCTGTTGCATGACAAGGTGTGGTTTACCAAATGGTCCAGACTCCAGTTGCTGACTGGGTTCATGTCAATCACAATCAATGGCGTAGGACATTGGCTAGTCAATAAAAATGGTTTCATGACGGTGACGTAGTCCAGTTCACGGATGTAGTCTTTTTTTCAATAAAAAGGACTGATGATTCTGTGATGAAAGCTACGAGGTCGTTGTCGTTTTTTTCGTTCTAGACTTTTTCTAGTTAAAACTTAAAATTTAAAAATGCTTTTTTTGTAAATCTTATCACATGGAAGAGGAACCTTTTGTCCTCTCTTGTAACGCCCTTTATTTCATTTTAGAAAAAATTCAAATTTGAATTCATCCGAGAATGGTTTACTTCAGTTCGAGTGCATGGTCATGCCTTTAGGGTTAGGCTAGTTGGGGAACAGGGCTTTACTTCATTTTCGAAATTCGAAGTTCGCTATCACGCCTGAGAGAACAAACAGTGCAAGGAAAGGAGTTGCTTACTTCCTTTTTTGTTGGGATGGGAAGATCAAAACGTCAGTACTTCTTCTCACTCTCCAATCTCAATGGAGTATGCAGGTGTGTTCTGTGGTCATCAGGGGCCACAGAGTCACTTACTTCCAATTTTGTAGCGGGGGTGCCCTTTCTTGCCCCTCTATTTGGTATGGCATTTATGTTGGAGTATTAGATTTTGACCATGTATGTCGGGCTGATCGAGAACACTTTCGTTGTGTTTTTAACTTTTTGTTATTGCATTTGTGTTTGTCATCTGTGGATTACGCAGGATGCAAGGTTCAGGGCAAGTCTCATATCGAATCCAAAAGCACTGGAAATCCGATGGAGGCTGTGGGATGATGTCCTGAATAAAGAGTTTGGGACTGAGTGAAGTTTTAACTTTTAACAGTGAACTTCCTTTGGATACGTTCATGTATCCTTTTTTCTATTATTTATTCAAGTGATATAGTCCTTGTCAGCTTTGTCACTCATTTTTTACCATGTTGTCATGCTCACACTGAACAGTTAGTGAAATAGAAGTATTTGCTTTCTGCATAAGAACTATGAAAGAAGTTTGCAACACTCAGGAATGTTATGTACTAACCATTTTGACTGCTACCCCAGCTTTGAGAGCACACTCGTGGCTGATGCAAAACAAACGAGACTGCGGTGAGGTATATGGAGCGTATCGTATAGGGCAGTGATGTTTGCATGGGCAGGGCAACTGTAAAAGTTCGCTTAGGAAGGAGTCCGAAGGACCCTTTCGGTGAGCGATTGCTCCTTCCGATTTGCCAACCCTTGGGCAGGGCAGACCGGCCAGGAGTTTTATTGGTCTCCTGTTTCAACCGTTCATGGGTATGCGAACTGAGGTAGGCCCGTTGGTGGACGGCTTGATTGCGTCGAGCGGAGATTTTTTGGATAAAAAATTCGGGAATTCTTGATAGTCTGTGTAAACTTTGGCTCGGGATGCGGGCATGCGAATCTGAATGTCGCCCCCGCAAATGTTGTCATCATTCTTCAACGTTAATCGAATGCAGCAAACATCACCGTCATCTGTCTCACCATCGCTCCAACCGTCGTTCCAGCTCATTCGTCCTCCCCCTCCCCCGCCGCCGCCTCCTCTTCCCCTCTTCCTCGTCCTCCCTTTGGCAGATCCTCCTCCTCTGCCTCCTCCTCTTCTCCTCCTCATTCTCCTCTACCTTCTCCTCTTTGTCTTTTCCTCATCTGCCTCCTCTTATCCTCGTCTGCTCCTCCTCGCCTCATTATCCACCTCTACTCCCTCCTCCTCTTCTTTGCCTCCTCCGCCTCCCATTCCTCCTCCTCCTCCCAGGGTGGCAGGGGGCGCGTTGGAGGAAAGGTGATGTGACCAGGGAGTTGTTGAGGTTGATGTGAAGGTGAAGTGTGCAGGTAGAGACAAGAGTCGAGACTGAGGGGAACCCAGAACTGGCGAACCGACGGGACGTAAATAGTGCAAATAGAACACAAAATGGAGGCCAACGAGGATACGGAGGAGGGGGAGGAGGGGGAGGGCAAATGACCTGGAAACAGAGCTGGAGCAATCGCGAGGTAGATGACAATGAAGTTCGCTGCATTCAATTAATGTTTGGCGACAACATTTGACGGGGTGACATTCGTACTTGCATGCCCGGCATTGCCTGTGGTCCAAGCCAAAGTTTATGCGGACTAATCCCTAACTCCCAAATTTGATCCAAATCTCAGCTCGGCGCAATCAAGCCGTCCACGAATCGGCCTAGCTCAGTTGGCATACCCAAGAACTCTTGAAACAGGAGATGAATAAAACTCCTGGCCAGTCTGTTCTATGATGATATCTCAAGGTCATCACCCTTTCTGTTTTCTATCGAATGGAGCTGCTCATCATGGTGGGTCGACGCCTGAGATCTGGATACTGGAAAAGGTAGGCCGCTCCTTAGGTTATTACCTGATTGAGGGACGCTGGACCCGTTTTCCAGCAGGTGCAGCTCCCCACTAATAGACCGGAGCCAGTAGCTGAGCTGCTAGGGGTGGATGCTCATACCAACACCACTAGCAATCTCAGCCAGTTTTTCTTGGAAAAAAAAAAAAAAGGCCGCTCCTCAGGTATCAGGACTTATTGTGCGTACAGGTAAGGGAAGGCAAATCAGAAGGGTAGCCTGCCTACCCTTTCCCATACACACGATATGTCCTGTCACTTTTCGATTCCCCCGTACGGGAAAGGGTAGGCTACTCCTTAGGAAGAACCTCCAAAGCGCCGTCTTCCCTTTGGCAAAGAGTAGGGTGCTCCTTAGGTGATGTAGGACATATTGTGCATATGGAAGCGCCCTAGGACTGGCTACTGAGGCATGGGCATCCTGATTATATAGCTGCCGCAAATACAAGAGTAGGGTGCTTTTGCGCCGGATAAAGTGGTTGGCAGAAACTACGTGTATCGGTGCTGACACGATAATGTTTCTGCCTCTGCTGCAGAGGGGAGGGGAGAGAGAGACACAACGAGAGGGAGACGGACACACAGAGAGAGAGAGAGAGAGAGAGAGAGAGAGAGAGAGAGAGAGAGAGAGAGAGAG